CTCCAATGCTCCCCAACATGAAACCATAGGCTCTCCTGGATCAACCACTTATTGACTCGAGCACACTTTCAGTGGTAAAAACACTCAGTCAAAGGTAATCTAATTTATTTACGAACTATGATTTTTCTTCTTCACACACTTGTGATAGAAGCATCGTTGACTCCTAACCGCATCCTATCGGGTACTAGAAAATTGCCAGACTGTCGGGATGTCCCATGGTAATAGTCCATAATGTGTTATACTTGATTACCCATGGTACTAGTTTGTATAATGCTGCACCAGATGTCCTATGGTGCTAGCCTAACCATATGAATTTTTTACTCACATATCTCCACACACTCACATATCCCCACATATCCTGGGTGAACTCCCACCCCCTATGATCATACTCTTTTACAATTTTTACTACTTTTTCTTCACATTTTCACATCACTAACTTTTATACATAGTGACGTTTCCACTACTATTTGTGTTTGGTCATATTTCTTCTAATTTATCTTTCTATTTCACTAAATAAGTCAATTTTTTACTAAGCTCAATTCACTCTCCTTTTAGGCAAACTTTCAACATAATGACAAAACGTTACCAAATATTGTCATGTTAAGTTTAATTGTTTAAAATATTAATGATTGACACACACAAAATCATCATTTTGAGACTAACTGTGTTAGTACTAGAAAATTGAAAAATATATACTTGATAAAATCAAAGGATCAAAATAAAATTTTATATAAAGTTAGAGAATTAAAGTTGTATTTTATATAACTCATCTGAATGCGCATCAACTTTAATTATCCTTCCTTTTTTTTAATTAGAAAGCTTAGAAATAAAATTGGGTGGACAAGAGAAGATGCATGCAAATGCAAGGAAAGCACTGTTATTTGTCTATATCCAATAATTATATTTATAATTATAGGGATTGACTTCAATTTTAAGTTGACGGAAGACAAAGAATAATCAAAGATTCCAAGATGGTTCTTCTCTCCCCTTTTTAACCCTTACACTGCTTCGATTCCATTATCTATGACTATAGGCTTTAACATTTCGATAATTTCATCAAATAATTACTATTATTCTTCAGAGGCAGAGAGGATCAAGTATACTCCCTCTTCCTCTTTCCTCTTCACAAGTAATTACCATTTTCTGATATCAGGTAAACAAAAACCTTAGTTTTTCTTGTTATCTTTCTTTCTCTGTGTTCTTTTTTATTTACTTCAATATCATCATCCTCATCTTCTTCTTCATCTTCTGGTACTGTACGAATCATGAATATATCCTTGATAAGTTTTCGTTAAGTCGTCACAACCTTGTACTTATTTCTTATTATATATTATCTCCATTCTTATGTATCTTCCTAGTTTTCTCGAGGAAGGTCCAAATTGGTACTTTTGCTGCAGTTTATATGAAGCAATTCATTTAGATTTAAATTTGCATGCATTCAGTTTTTTTTTTTTTTTGCCCCTTTTAATTTGGCAACGCACGCATATGTACATTAATTAGTTAAAACTTCTTCCCCCCCCCCCCCCCTCTTTCTATTCTATAAACCCGTGACGTGCGCGCGCGTGCGAGCGTCTAGTTTAAAAAACACATTCCATGTACTTCCTTTTTGGCAGCCAAGAACCATCGGAGGATAAGTTGTTCTCTAAACTCGTAATTTCAGGTATGGATTATTATTATCAAGATTAATAAGCATCCTAGATTTTAAACTATTGTATGAATAACACCCTAGACTCTAAAATTTTAAAATATGTGAAAAAATTTCCTTACCTGCTAATTAAATTCCAAGTGTATAAAACCTCACTGTTAAGTTAAAAAAAAAAACCATCACTTTTGTAGTTGTGGGGCTCAGTCGCATGCTGATATGGTACTCATCTTAACCTTTAAAAATAATGATTGTTTTCTTCGACTTAATGGTAGGGGTTTTTAAGCACTCGAAATTTAAAAATTAACGAGAATTTTTACATATTTTAAAAATTCAAGATCTAAGATACTATTTGTAGGTTTTATATGTTAATTAACCTTTATTGTTGTTGTTGTTGTTGTTATATGAATAATGTTAAACGTACGTTACCCCAAGCAAGAAGATTTGAAAAGTAGTGGACTTCCGTCGCTAGTCAATATATAACTAACCATCACCGCATCCCTAAACCTGAGGACCTCAGGTGGCTATGGATAATATTTAGTTAAATTACAAAACAACTTAAACTTTCAACTATGATATGCAACTAATTATACCTTAGCCTTCAAAACTTGGTGTGGAAGTTTATACAAATAGCTTGCTTGCTGTTAAGTTTTTATTTGGATTAGTTGCAGATTACTTAAAGTTGAGGGACTATTTATTGCACAAATTACTCTTCAAGTTCGAGGAGTTATATCTGCACAAAAAACAGGGCCTTTAGCACTTAAAAAAAAAAAAACTTTTGACAGTAATTTTGCGGCTAAAAGTTTTTGTAAAAAGTTGTCGCAAAACTCTTGCTGCTAATGTTTTTTCAGGAAGTATATCAAAAAGTTAACTTTAACTTGTATGGATTTGGTCATTTATACAATTTTTATATTATGATAGTTGTAAAATACAATGGACTTTTAAATTAATCTGAAATGTATTGATGACTTAAATATATGTAACTAAATAAGAATAACTTATCCCTCAAATTAATTTAATTTTTATCAATATAATATGTTATATAATGCATTTTATTCATTTGTTTTTAAATTTTTTGAATCTTTTTTTCCTTCCTAAATAATTACACTTTTTTTTTTAAATAATCTACACAGTTAAAACCAATATTCTATTATTTGTGTCAGTAGATTTTAATTGTATTACTTTCTTTTTAAACAATAAGGATTAAATAGATAATTTAAGTAAATTAAGGAATTACATTGACAAAAGTTAAGCTTGGAAAATTAAATTGATAATTGAAATAAGTTTGAAAAGTTAAAAATTTTATTATTTCAAAATTTTAATATCAACAATTTTCATCATACCATACTATATTAACATAAAACTGAACATAAATCATTCATTTGTTAAAAAAAAATTTGAAAATTTAAGAATGTAACTTTTTATGTTGAAATTGAAATAGTTTTTTGCAAGGCAGTGAAAAGTATCAGGAAGTTGTATTTTTCCCTTACTATATAAGACGAGGATCAAAACTACCCCATGAACAAGCAACATCAATCCTAGTGGATCCCAGACATCAAGCCAATACTTCTACCATAAATAAACAATTTAATTAAGAATTCCACCGAGTTTGTTATAAAGATAGTGGACAATGTCAAAAGATTTAAAAAAAATAAACTAAATAATTGCCTTTCAAGATATATTATTTATTTTCTCTTTCGATTTTCATATATTCTTTTGAGTTTATTTTTACGCATTTAAAACATAAACAATTTTATCCACAAAAGAAAGAAAGAAAGAAATCAACAACCCATATAACTTGTATCATCAATAGTTTTAATAATATATACAAGCATTTTTATTTCATATTTAGGATGTGATATGTGACAATATATATTATTCGGAAACCATAGTCGCTCTTTTAATAGGCTTATTACTTTATAATAGTTCACTTATAGACCACCCACGTGCAGAGAAATAGCTATTACAATTGAAATGGCTGTCAGAGAAAAGAATTCTCTGCCACCACTCACTGATCGGGTCCAATGGGTGGCTTCAGCCCAATACAACTCTCCTTCTCTTGATCTTCTTCTGCAAGATACCAGTAATTTTCTCTCTCTACAATATAATATGATCTTCCTTTCCTACATAATTGAGATTTCAATTTTTTAATTAAGGCCTTATATTGACTTCAGTAGGTTCAGTTGATTTTTTTAAGAAAAATTAAGCTGTAGGTCTTTCTAATTTTCATCGATTTTGAACTAAATTTTTGTAGTTTATTTTATTTTAATCAAACCCTTATAGTTTGATAAATTAAATATATTAGTCTTTAAAACTTAAAATTATTTATGAATTATTAACTTTTTCAAAATAAAAAAATTTTTAAAATTTATAGATAAATTGATTTGATACTTTTAGCGAGAAAAGAAAAAAGAAAATTTGATTTAATATAATGTTTACAATTTTATTGATTTTTTCATGAAAATTATATATATCATTTATTTAGAAAACATAACCTCATTAAATAAATTTTGAATTATAAAAATTATATGATTAACTTTAAATTTTTATAGTCTTTTAATAAAAATTTAAAAATTCTTAACTTCATATTTTGAAATAAGAAATTTAAGGATTTCAATCCTTAGGATTTAACATATTTAATCAATCAAACTATAAGTATCCTAATAAGATAAAATAAATTATAGGGACTTGATTCAAAATTGAGGTAAACTAAAAGGACATACAAATTAATTTTCCGAAATTTTTATTGGGTGTACCTTTTGAGTAATAGTATTAAGGGATAATAAAACTTTTAGTCCCTCAAGTTTATCTTAGTTGTTAATTAAGTCTCTCAAATTTATTTTTTATCAATTTGATCCTTTATAGTTTCTTAAATTATCATATTAGTCCTTGAAACTTTAAATCATAAATTGACTCTCAAATTAATCTAAAGTGTAAAGTATATTCATAACTAACATGTATATGTAGCTAAATGAGAACAAATTAACTTTCAAATAAGATAAATTTTATCAATCTAATCCCTTAACATTGCACTTTGTTCTTTTATTTTTTTAAAATTTATATGTCTGTTATTTTCCTACTTTAATATTTACACTTCTTTTCATTAATTTATATGAAAGCTACCATCAATATTATATTATCTAATGTTACCTCTTCTTTAAACAATAATGATCAAATTGGTAATTTGGGAAAACTTAAGCGACCAATTGATAACAATTAAACTTGAGCGATTAAATCAATAATTGAAGCAAACTTGAGGGGCTACAAATTGACTATCTCATGGTATTATTGAAGCTATTATTCTATATCACAATGTGCCTTATATTTACTATGAAAGTTCTACTTGACTTCACTTCAGGAGAGGCAAAATACCAATACCTAAACTTATGTGTGCCTCTTTACAAATATGCACTGGAAGGCAATTGGGCAGCAGCTGAGCCTATACTGTTAAGTTATAATGGAATGCTTTTGAAAGCTGCCATAGCAAAGCAACACTTAACTGTGCTTCATGTTGCTACTGGAGCAGGCCATGTTAACTTTGTAAAGAAGCTTGTGAACTTAATGCATGAGAATGACTTGGCTTTGCAAGACTACAACGGCAACACTGCCTTTACTATCGCGGCTTCCATGGGAAACTTAGACATTGTTGAGATCATGCTGAGGAAATACCCATTCTTACCAAGAATTAGAGATGGAAATGGTCTCACTCCTCTTCATTCTGCTGCTTTACAAGGAAGAAATAAGATGACATTATTTCTATATGATAAGACTATAGCTGTATTTGAAGAAGAGGATTGGAAGAAGTTGTTCCTCACTTTAATCAACACAGGCATCTATGGTATGTTGGAACTAGGGTTATATGCATGCATGCATGACTCAATTGTTAAAGTATCTTTACATTAAACACAATACTCCTTTCGGTCTTTATTATAGGGCACCTTTTATAAGGATTTTTTTGGCCAAGATGTTTACACATAGAGAACCATTTATTACCATTTCCAATTTTACTCCTATTGTAAATTTAATTTTATGATTTATTGTACAACATATATATCTTTCTTCTTGTTAATAAGGGCAAAGTTGGAAAAATTTCTCTTTTTAAAACATTTAATCAGTTAATTGTCATTCATTGGTTCCAATGATAGCACCTCATAATAAGAACTTGATGGAATATATATCGTTGCTGATTTCATTTATTATTTGTAGTTCTTACTTTTTTAAGAAATTTTGCAGATGTAGCTTTGAAAATGTTAAATGATATGGAAACACTAGCCTTAGCGGAGAATGAAAATGGTGAGACTGGTTTGCATGTCTTGGCAAAGAAGCCCTTAAATTTGAGCTATCGTAATCAAGAATATCAAAACCAGCTCATGAGATCAGGTACATAATTAGCCTTATCATCACTTGATAGACAAAAAAATTTGCACTTATTCAACTATAGCCTATTAAAAACATATATATGTTCCTAAATAATTAATTTTGCCACTAATCCTGCATCCCAGGTTTAAAGCAGACTTTAATTCTTGAACTTGTTCGTCGTCTTTGGCAAGGAATTTACGAATTAACAAAGTCGGTGATAGAAGTGAGGAAAATCATAAACTACCCATCACAACTACTTTTTGATGCTACTGTGATTGGGAATTATGATTTCATAGCTGAACTTATAAGCTCTTATCCTGATTTGATATGGGAGTTGGATGATAGATATCGAAGTATAATTCACATTGCAGTTTTGCATCGCCATGCTGCCATTTTCAATCTTATCCATGATATTGGTTCAAACAAGGATCTTATAGTGACATTTATCGATGAAAGTGATGGAAACAATTTATTACATATGGCGGCAAAATTAGGTCCGCGTCATCAACTTGAGTTGGTCTCATCAGGAGCAACTTTTCAAATGAGACATGAATTATTATGGTTTAAGGTATGATCTCTCCTTTATGGTTCATGCCAAATAATGATTATGCTAGAGCTTTTAATTTTGTATTCTTATGATATATGGTTCATAAGTCATGTTTAAGATCTTAAATTCACCTCTAGACAACATTTTAATATGTTATTAGGAGGTGAAGAAGGTAATGCTACCAGGATACATTAATAAGAAAAACTTTGATGGCATAACTCCTAGTGAGTTGTTTACTATGGAGCATGCTGGATTACGAAAAGAGGCAGAATGTTGGATGAAAGGGACAGCTAAGTCATGCATGCTTGTTTCAACTGTCATCACTACTGGAGTTTTTTCTGCAGCAATCAACTTACCAGGTGGCAATAATGATGATACAGGAACTCCTAATTACTTGAACACACTAGCATTTTTGATATTTGCAATATCAGATGCTATTGCACTTATTTCATCTTCAATTTCTATATTAGCCTTTTTGTCTATCCTTGTGTCACGTTATGCAGAGCGTGATTTTTATAAGTCTTTGCCCTCAAAGTTGATATTAGGATTGGTAAGTCTCTTCATATCCATAACAAGCATGATGATAACATTCAGCAGTAGCTTCTTCATAACATATTACCATGGCACAAAGTGGGTTCCCTGCTTCATTTTAGTCCTTTCTTTTTTACCAACACTCATATTTGTAGGTTTGCAATATCAACTTTTGTCTGATATCATTTACTCAATGTATCATCTAAGAGTTGTATTTCAACGTACTAGACATATGCTTTGCTAGAAAAGTAGAGGCTATTTGAATGATCTTGTATCTATCTATCTATATAAACTCATTTATCTCTAATTACAATAGTATTTATAGTTTTAATGGAGAATATATTAATTTATTTATTTTTGGTTGAGCCATTTTATTAAATTATGGAGAAGCCTTGCAAATAGAATAACAATCTTCACGCACCTCCTTGCTAACAAATTTATGATTGGAGCTATCATGTGAGACTTTCTTAGGCTTTGCAAAATTTGAGTAGGCACTTACTAGCATGTATCAAGTCTAGTAACAATTAGATATTATAGCCTAACTATGATAGTTAGAAGCTTGCCATTGATCACTAGGGGATGGATTAGATGATTGACTACCTTGATTCATCTTCATTAACTCATAAAGCTGGTCAATTTGACTTTGCATTTAGTCTACCTTTCATTGCAATATGACAATCATTTCTCTCTGACTTCAATTCTCCTATTCTAATTGTGCCATCCTAGTATTTGAGGCATATCTTACACCAAATTTTGCTTTTGAAAAGAAAGAAGCAGACCCAATCATCAAGGAAGAGGTAGGGGCTTATACCCAAGCCACGAACACATCCATGACACTCTTATTCCCTCACTTGTATAAAGATTTCATATGACATGTTGTCTACTTATTCGTCACACGACCTCACTTGGGATTACTTCTCATGCATTTTATCTTGCAATGTATTAGCATTTAAAGTTTAGTAATTTGGAAATGAAGATGCAATTATCGCTATAATAATTAAATTTTGTGCTATACTTACTATTTCAGCTTGGGTAGCCATAAGGATAGTCCCATCCTTGTGAGTGTGTGTTGCCACAAATAGATATATATGATTTAATTGTTTCTCACTATTTTTTCCTGTGTATATAAAAATTGAGTTTATTATTTCAAATTCAACATGTAATTTATTGTAAACTAATATGAATATAACTGACCAACTCCTTTTTTCTGGCATTCATCTTTAATCCTCCGATATGGAAAATAGCTTGATGGGATTGACTTTTCTTGCACATTTTCGCAAAGGTCCTACAAATTTTAACAAATAAGTATGTTAAAAATATTTTAAAAATTAATGATTAAAATAATGAGTTGTACTACTTAAGCCTTGGGTTTCATACGATGATCCACAAATTTTTTTCAAATCCTTAAATGGATATGGCTTTGATGCTGATCCCAAAACATGCCTTGAATCTGTACCAACCTTGGAACATGCCAAACCCCACATTGAGCATGGCTTTGAAGCTGCTATTTTGCATACTCTTCATCTAGTGTAGTATCTGAATCTGTCCTATCTGTCTCTTACCTTTAACCGTTATATCCCTCCTATCCTAGACTAATCTTTCCATCTACATCTAATGGAGACTGTATTGAGCTCAATAATTGATCCTAGTTGGGTATATTGCCTGAATTGATCCTCCACTTTCATAATCAACCCTATTCAAGTTAATATAAAAATTGTTATCTCCCTACATGATGGATTTACCATTAGTAGTGGCCTTTCCTCATCATCTAGGATCCTGTAAAATAAAGTACGCAAATTATTATAAGTATAAAAACATGAAAGAAACCAATATATAAATTAACATAAAAAATCTCAATTTTATAAGTTCAAATTATCGAGAAATATTATTTCCAAAGATATTGGTTTGAAATTAAAGACTCAATATCATAATTGGAATCAACTTCTTCAACCCCATGTAATTAAAGTCTCAAGGTTTTAAGTGCACAACCATACTCCAATTAAGATTTGAAACTTTTTGCACATAAAAAAACTTGTTGTGCCTCTTATGCGAGAATGTATGGTTCATCATCATCATATTCATCGGTGTGAATTAAACAAGAAAGATTCATAGATGTAATTCCCAAATTATTAGCATAAATCCTTGTGGAAGTTGTAGTATTTTCCCAAAGCATTTGAATAGTGTTACTACAATATAGCCATGGTAATTTAATTCAACCATAGCAACTAACTTTCTATAATATGGAACCCCTCCAGATTACATATTCTTATCATTTCTATTTGCATAATTTCTTGTTTCAAATGTCCTAAACACATCATAATTTTGTGTTTGAAGGCCTTCATCATATGTAGTAGTTCAAAATTTGAAACCATTTTTATTGTAATCAGAATATCTGTGCCCATGATCTATAAGGCCCAATGCAACGAACTTGAGGTCGCTGAGTAGTGATTACTATTTTCATCTGATATCTAGGAAAAATTAGTTTTAATAAGTATTTTTTTGTGCAAGATATTGTTGTAAAATATATATTTCATTACTTACTTTAAGATAATATCAATCAACAAATTCGAGGTGAACTCTATAACATCCACTCAATATTATCAAATTATTACACTTAATTCATCTAATTTTCAATAGAGGTCCTTTTAACCTCTACAGTATCACAACAAAAATTATTTGAAAATATTGAAAATAAATACTTATAAATGATTGGGATCATGAAACCTTCCAAAATTCATTGAAAATCATCCAAAAGTAACTATTTATGCTTAACAGAAGTCTATGAGTTAGATAAATACCATATAGTGTGAAAAATGAGGCAAAGCAATACATTTTAGCAAAGTAGACATATACTATAGCATATGACATATGTGCCGTGGCATGTGATATAGAGCTAAAAGTTCACGTTTTGTGACATGTGCCTTAATATGTATACTATGTGCTATGATGCATGTATGAGTTTTTGCTATCAGTAATGGTTCACTGAAATGAACTTCTAACATGCACAATTTTCCACATATGGAGTCTGATTGGGGTGATTTAAGCGCCCATACTTTTGACAAGCTAACTAATGACAAGAGTTTCATTTCAATTTGATGTCTTTTTTTGAAAATTGAACATCTGGATGCAACATGACTACTTTAGGTCATTTTCACCTAACCCAAGTGTCCCAAATCTAACCCACTTGTCATTAGTCACTTTTAAGGGCTTGATCCTGTCCAATAGAATATTTTATACCTAACTAAACAATTATACCATCAAATTCACATGTATACATAAGTTTGGCCATTTAACTGCCCTTTTTACACAACGGGGTGTGTTTTCACAATTTTTCATATATGAACATTCCTAGCTAAATTTTCATATGTTCACTACTCTTACATGCACAACTATACATTTACATCTCTATCTTAGCCTAATAAGTCACATTTCACCACATGCCACACATTATCACATACCAGGGCTAAGATTAACAAAAAAACATACAAATACATTAGATACTATATGCTCATGTATTCTAATGGAAGCTTAAATGTGTAATAATTATGACATATCAAATTCATTACACAAACTCTTGAAGCATAGTGGTAGAACCACTATGCCTAGCTCGAGTCTTTCCCCTTGTCTCTAACAATCAGAAGTAGTAAAAATATAACCATTGGGTAAGATAAACATTTTAGTAATAAAATAAATTAGAGCTATCAATTAATAAGAAAAACTATAAATAAGTAAAACTCATATGGACGTATAGATATAACATAGCCATTTTCCTCAAATCATTTTTAGACTAGCATAATCATTCTACCATCCAATCCTTACCATCACCCCAAGTGAAATCATAAGCTCCACTAAATCAACCACACGCGAACTAATTCAAGCACACTTTCAACGATAGAATCACTTGACCAAAAGTGTTCTGTCTTACTTTCAAGCTTTGGTTTTCCCTTATTACACACACGATTTGTAAGCTCCCCCCATATTATCTAGATACAGTAGAAGATTAACTAAAACACCATACTAATCACATTTAGTAGATAAAAACTTCATTTAAAAATCTTGGGCCCAAAACTTATTTGCAAAATCATCAAAATCACAACACGTTTATGTAATACATAGAAGAAGCAAATCATACGCATTCATAACACCAATTGCATATACTAAAAACCATAAATAAGTTGGAAAAATGGGCTATACGCTATAGTGTGCACTCAACATGTGATGTAACATCCTAAGTTTCTCCCATTAGTAATTATCAATGTTTTCAAGGATAATTTAGTTAATTTAGATAAATTGTTGATTTAGCGAGGTTTATGAAAAATTAATATGGTTTTTAAATCCTTGGATAGTCTTAGAAGAGAGCTAGGTCAATGTTCAAGCGGGCCATGGCATGGAAGGGAGTTTAAAATTTTATGGGATTTTCTGTGCCATATATCGCGGCAGATATGTCAATACATCACAGCACATGTGCAAAATTTACACTTATCAGATAGTAAATCAGACTCAAAAAATAGAAGAGAGAAAGAAGGAACTCGAGAGCAGCGATGAAGAGGGACTTGTGGTTGCTAGGGCTTGCTTTTAACGTGATTTTAGAGGCTTTGTAAGCTTCATATACATTGGGTAAGCCTTCCTTTCTTCTCCTCTCCCTCTATTATATGAAAATTTGGATTGATGGGGCAATAAAGGCTTTGATTTTGGTTCCCTTGGGTTTAGACCAAACCCATTGATTTATTTAAGGTCTTAGGGAGTTAAATCAAGCCTTTAACCTTAAGTTTATGAATTTTGTGGTGATTAAGAATTTTTGGTAAGGGTTTAGATGAACCCTACGTATAATTTGAGGATTTTGAGACAATATAAGACATTGGTTAGCTAATTTAGTGTATTGGGATGTTTAATAGGATGGTTAGAGTGTTTGAGAATGGTTGATGTTGTTTGAAAAGGAATTTTAAGTATTTTAGATGCTTAGAACCTAGAGAATTTAGAGTTATCCAGTGATAATTGATGATTGTCACTTGATTGTGTAGATTGAGCATTGCTCGAGCTATATCATGCATATAGAATGTGTGAAGCTAATGTTGAACTACGGTAACTCTTTTGTGTGATAAAGGTTTGAGGTAACAGAATGATTTACACTGATTGATTATATTACTTAACTATTGTGAGTAGATATGTGGATTTGAACTTTAAGATTTGATAACCTTGCATATTGTGAAATGTAGTTTCGTGCATGAAAATATATTTGCAAAT